CAGGCCCGCCAGGGGGCGCTCTGGCCCGGGAGGCGCTGTTCGGTCAGTCTGGCGCCGGCACCGGCGTCTGCTGGGCGGACCCAGGAACTTCCGGCCTCCCGCAGCCCGGGTGGCGCGGTGGTGAGGGTGCAGGGCCTGGGCAAATCCATTTGAGGGGTGTAGTGGGGGCGAGTGGAGTGATATTCGCGCCCCTTGACTTGGGGCGGGGGGCGTCTGCGAGGAGCAGAGGGAGAACCCTGGACCGCGGATCCAGCTGGGGCCCAGCTCTGCCGGCTTCTCACCGCGGGACCTTGGCTTGAGACCCGTCCCTCGGTGGACAAGCAGTGGGGTCAGTCGAAATGACTTTGAAGGCCCCTGCCGGCCAGGCCCCGGGGAAACTGATCTGGCCTTTCCCCTCCCCCCCAACATTCTTTGCTTTTTTAAAAAAAATTTAAGTATAGTCAGTTTACAGTGTTGTGTCAGTTTCTGGTGTACAACATAATAGTTAAGTCATACATATACGTATATATTCCTTTTTGTATTCTTTTTCATTACTACAAGATACTGAATATAGTTGCCTGTGCTATACAGTATAAACTTGTTTATCTGTTTTATATATGATCTGGCCTTTGGCTGGGGCCTGGACAGGGCATCTCAGCCCTCTGGGTCTCTTAGGGAGGAGGACAGGATTTGCTTGCCTTTCTTTGAGCCCTTGGATACAAACTGAGACTTGAGAGGGTTTAAAGGACTCACTGTGTCCAGAGACTAACTGTGACAAAAGCCAGGGCATTTTCTGGGGCTTTTAAGTAAACGCCATCCACTGCAGCAAGTAGAACCACTGCTAAGTACCTCTCAGGGGTCCAGCTCACACATTTGATACTTCTAACCCCAGAACAGCTGATTCAATAGATACTACCTCCATTTTACCGGGGAGGAAACAGGCTGAGAGTCCTTCAGTAACTTGCCCAGGGTTCCATGGCTGGAAGGGAGAAGAGCCTGAGCTGGACTTGAGCCCTGGCTCAGCCCACTTGTGGACTTTGATGAGGAAGCCAGGGCTTCATGCTTTAAAGTAGGTGGTTTGTTTATTTAACCACTGAGAGGTGCATCACCATCACTTGGGAGGCTCCACCCCCCCCCCAGAGATTCTGACTTAGGCTTGGGGTGGCCAAGAACGTGAGTGTCCAACAAGTTCCTAAGTGATGCTGATGCTGCGGGCCCCCAGACCATGCTTTGAGAATCGTTGCTTAGGCTGGAGATTGGGGGTTCCGATAGGAACGGGCAAATGATCCCTGGTGTTTTTTTGTACCTGAGGTTCCTGGCTGGGTTTTTCCAATATCATTCTGCCACCCTCTGGTGAGAACAGCAGCCAGCAACTAAACAGACAAGCTTCCCTGTTGATACGGCAAGTCATCAGAGGCATATCAATTGCTATCAGACGGGCAGGAAACAATTCAGAAGCCCAGGGGACAGCTGACCAGCCCTCAGAGGCCGCCTCACCATCCTTCATTTGTATCGTACATTTATAGTGGACAGCCGTGGGAAAGAAGGCAAGATGTGTGACGATTCAGAGAATGTGGAGTTTTAGAGGAGAGACAGGCCTTTCTAAGATTCTCTCCATGTGTACTTCCCCTTTCTCCCACATTAGAGGTGGGGACACTGAAACCCTCTCCAAACCACACAGTCACTATTAACAAACATCTTAGATTCCCCTATTGCCCATGAATAGGCCAGAGTTCTGTGCCTTCAGATCCTGTTCTGATACATTCTTTCACAAATGCTGACATGCTGCTCATCTGCATGCCAAGTGTTTCAGGCAAAAAAGCCAGAACTTCTACAAAGAGGACTGGATTTTCAGTTCTGGGAGTCCCTCCTCTCACAGGTGATAGATAGTAGCAACCAGCCTGACTGGAATATTCTCTCAACAATTCTTCTTTGATCGCTATTGTCATTGCCCTAAATGAGGCCTTCTGTCTTGTGCTATTACAACAGTGCTGTGAGGAGGAGCATAGCATGCAATTTCCAAGTTTCAGGTAAGAAACCCAGGGCTCAGAGAGGCAAAGTGACTTGCCCAGTGCCACCCAGCTGGGAAGGGGCAAAGCAAGACTCTCACTTCATTCTCTGATTCCAAATCATGCTTCTGCTGCTCCCAGATGTTGGGTGTGGTCCCTGAGAAAGACAGGGTGTGTGTTTGTTTGAGGGGAAGGTGGACAGAGAGAGAAGCAGCACTGATTACCCATCCTGCACCCAGGATTATGTGGGATGCTTTACATTTACTGAATATGATTATTCCGTGAATACCTCTTATATCTATAGAGTTTGACATTATTGTCCCATCTCACAGATGAAACAGCTTCAGAAAAAGTGACTTGCCCAAGGTCATGCAGACGGTGATGGGCGGATTTAAATCTGGGCCCTGGCTTTCTTTGATCACACTGTCTAGGGGCAAGGGAACATATGGTTACCACTATTTAAAGCAGGCCAACTCCTAGTCAGTTGCAGGATTTGTAAATGATGTAACATCAGAAGGTAGCAATAAGGGGTAGTTTGAGGAGGCCACAGTGGTGCCTGGCACTTTGCAAAATTTGGAAGGAAAACAAGAGGGATATATGCTACAAAATGTCCAAGGAGTGAACTTGATAGGAGGTAAAGGGTCTGAGGAAATATAATAAAACATTGATTTCTTTCCTTCTTTCCAAGGTCCTTCCTCCTCACTAGCTGCTATTCTTTGTGCTGAAATGTCATTGATCTGCAAGTTGTTAGTCTAGGATTTAGAATCTAAGTAAAGCTTGATGGTAGAGATGTAGTGCTCTGGGCCCAAGGCCTGGGCGAGAACATCTCCTACAGTAAATTTTCCCTCTAGCAGCTCCACGGGCCCCCTCACCAGTCCCACCCTCAAATCTTTTGCTAACCTACCTCTAATTGTTTTTCAGCTTCAGGCCACCTTCTGGTATGACCTGCTACCTTTCCTGGCTTATCTGAGTCTTATCTTACGGGCAATTCAAACCTCATTCCTCCCTGAAGTCTTATCTTTGCTTAGAGAGCACTTATCTTAGGCCTGTCTCCTGACATAGCAGCTGTTTATATCCTGGGAGCTTCTACTCTGGTCTCCTCATCTCATACACACGTGTATATGTCTCACAGCCCCTTATTTGGCCTGGCCTCTGTCCTGGCACTGAATGGCTTGTCTTAAACTTTCCTATATCTCCAGCATTTTACATATTGTAGATTCTTCACGAATATTCGGTAGATGAATGAATATGTAGCCTGTGCCTATCTTTTTTGGAGGAGGAGTATTATTTCCTGTCAAATACTAAGAGGTTATTCAAAATATTTATTAAAGTGGGGGGGGGGCGGTTCCTATCTGACCGTGTTGAGAACCACTCTAAAGTCCTAGAGGGCAGGGACCTCCCCTCCCCTGTGTCACTGCTTCCTCCCCTGTGCCTAGCCGTGGGCCTGGAATATAGCAGATGCACAGAAGACCTTTTTTGAATGAGTGATGAAGGAGTTTTGAGGGTGACATCATAGTTTAGGTTTTGGCAGCCAACTGGGCAGGTGATGGGGCCCTTGGCTGAGATGGGGAACAGCAGAGAGGGCAGTTTAGGGGCGAGAGTGATGAGTCTGGTTTTCAGTGTGGAAGTCTGGAGAGGCCTGGAATGGGGCAGTGGCTCTGAAGGCCCAGACTGCCCTCCCAGTGCCACTGAAGGGTGGGAAGTACAGTCAGTGGCAGTTCATCTGTTTGATCAGTAAACATTGCAAGTGTCTCCGCGCAGGATGGACAGACCAGCAGGGGCCGAGAGGCTCACAGTATAGTGTGTGCCTCCTCTTGGGGTGATTTTGTGTACCTGCCTGGGCCCTCAGAGGGTGGGGCTCCTCTGAGGTAGGGGATGGGACCCCATCTCTGGGCCCGACCTGATAGAGTGGTCAGCAAGGTACTCCTTTCTGCTTCCCAGGTGGGATGCTGCCCAATTCATGAATCGTTGTCAAAAGCCAGCTAGATCTTCAAATCTACTCAGATGAACTTTGTATTTTGGTGGCATGATTAATTAGAGCTTGGAATTTTCAGTCTTGCTCCCCATTCTCTTGGGAAGAGAGAAGGGCTGGAAATGGAGTTTATGATCCAGCATGCCTATGTGATGAAGCCTCCATATAAATTCCGAAAGTGTGGGGTTTGCAGTTTCCAGGTCGGTGACCACATCCATGTACCAGGAAGATGAAGCACCCCAAATCCACAGGGACAGAATCTCCTGTGCTCGGGACCTGTATCCTTTAATAAAGTGGTAAATGTACGGAAGTGTTTCCCGGAGTTCTGAGAAGGTGCTCTAGCAAACTAGTTAAAACTGAAGAGGAGGTGGTGGGAACCTGAGATTTAAAGCCCACGGGTCGGAAGCAAAGGTGACCACCTGGACTTGTGACTGGTATCTCAAGTTGGGTGGGAGCAGTCTTGTGGGACTGAGCCCTTAACCTGTGGGATCTGATGCTATCTCCACGTATATAGTATCAGAACTGAGTTAAATTGTAGGACCCCTAGATGGTGTCACAGAGAATTTGGTGACCCAAAGTGTCAGAAGTACTGTGAGTGTGTAGTAGTGTGAGAGTT